CAAAGTGCATCATGGGCCCTTCTTATCTGTAAGGCTGATCTTATAATGAGAGCACATGGAGCAGCAGGTTACACTCAGACTCGGGAGATGCCTGCCTTTCCCAACCTTTCTTCGTCCACCCCAGGAACCCTTATCAACCAAAAAATGTGGCTTCCTGTCAGTCTGAAGGTCCCTGCTTCCATTGTCTGCCTATGGATTCCTGCTGTGTGTAGCACGCAAGGTTTCCTGCCCCATGGCCCCTGCCCCAACTGCCCTAACAGTTAGAATCCCAAGTTCCACTTATAGTAGTTAGACAGCACATTAAGAGAGATGGATAAAACCGCTGTGAAAAGTATGAAGTACACAAACATAAATAGAAGGAACAGGAGTTCTGTTAGGTTTGCGCAAGGCCTATGGATGTGAGTTTGAGCAAACTCTAGGAGATAGTGAAGGACAGAGAAGCCTGGCATGCCTCGGTCCATGGGGTTGCAAAGAGTTAGACATGACTGAGTGACTGAACAACCTCTTGTACTCAGATCTTTGCTCCTATAACAGGCCCTGCCCAGAGAGGGGAGGGGTCTCTGGAAGGATGCTGGGAAATTATAAGAACTTTTCTTGATACAAAACCAATATCTCCTGCTCTGTCTTGACAGGAGAGGACAGACGACCACCTCCAGGCTTTCTAAACTCTCAACCATGGTTTCCAGGAGCTTTCAACAATTTTAGGTGGGGTCTTGAGATGATCCTGGTCCCCATCCCTCCAGAGTCCACCAGAGACAGCTGCCCACCCGGAGCTGACCCCCTTGAAGCCTTCCTCCTTCCCCAGTCATGTCCAGCCACATGCCCAGCTCTGGGGAATAAAAAGAATTGATGAGGAAGGGTGTTGGCACCAGGGATCCGGGAAAGGACAGGGAACATTGGTTCCCCCAGCCAGAGCAGACTTGGACTCTAAAAATAGTTTCATGATGTAAACCCTTGAGCAAAGTCTTCTTTGGCTCCAGGAATAAAAATTCTCCGTTTGGAATTCAATCGAAGGCTTTATTACAAATACTGTACATGACAGAACCTATGAATATCTCCTGCTAATTGCTCCCAGTTTTGTAATCTCTGTGGCAAGAATTCCAGCCAGGTCAATTACAGGGAGTGGGCGTGCTACATGAGGGGGAGGGGGGCCCAAGTTCCTGTAAATCAGGTCATGTTTGGCTTGGTACCCAACTCAGAAGCCGGTTGTGTGACTGGCTCTAAATGCTCTGCTCCCAGCCCAAACCTGTTGGATCCTCAGTCTGTCATCGTAGAGGTGGCAACACAGAACGCGGAGGGGACACGCACTTCATCCAGGCTTCGGATGAGGCATGGTCTCAGACGGCAAGCCAGTTTTCGTGAGTTTGGTGAGACGCAAGAGGGGGTTGCTGAAAGCCCCAGCTGTATGCTTTGTAAATTGGATCAATCCAAACCTACCATCTGGTTCTTATTAGGGAAGCTCCAGGCCTGGGGTGGGGTAGGTGGCTCCATCCTCCCCAAAGGAGACCCAAGCTCCTCACCATCAGAAACGACGGATATCGAGAATTCGGAAAATGGCAGCCAAATCATTTGGTCCATGGCTCTGGCCCAACAGAAGACTCACTTCAAATTCGTACCTGCAAGGGCCCCCCAAGTGTAAAGCTTTATGAAAATAAGTCTGCGTCACTTCTTCCATGATGTACCACCGGTTGGGGCTGAGTGACTGAGAACTATTTATCTGTTGCTCCAAGAATCATCTGAAACAGCTAAGGTTAGTGAAGGTTAATGATATTAGCGTTTAGAAATATTCTCAGGTTGGAGGGGGACGCAGATCATCCCACCCACACATAGATCGAAGGGCAAGTTACACACAAGCGGAGCAGAGTGGTGCTTAACCCACTCCTTTGCTGTCACTCCGTCACTCAATCGTGCCCGACTCTTTGCGACCCAGTGGCCTGTAGCCCTCTGGCTCCTCTGTCCATGGGATTTCCCAGGCCAGAGTACCGGAGTGGGTTGCTATTTCCTTCTCCGGGGGATCTTCCTGACTCTGGGATTGGATCCCATTGCAGGTGGATTCTTTACCATCTGAGCCACCAGGGAAGCCCAGCCTGGCTCCAGACTGTTCTTTAAATGAAGTTGGAAATGGCTCTTCAGGTCTTAGTCCCTGATTGTGTTGGTTTTGTTTGCATGCTCTGTTTCTTTTCTTTAAAAAAAAAAAAAAAAACACCTTTTATTTTATATTGGAGTGTAGCCAATTAACAGAGTGGTGACAATTTCACGTGGACAGCAAAGGGACTCAGCCATACGTATATATGTATCTGTTTTCCCTCCACACTCCCCACCCATCCAGGCTGCCACATAATACTGAGCAGAATTCCCTGTGCTATTCAGTAGGTCCTTGTTGATTATCCATTTAAAATACAGCAGTGTGTGCAAGTCCATCCCAAACTCCCTAACTATCCCTTCCTCACATTCTTCCCCCAGCAACCAAAAGTTCATTCTCTGTGAGTCTGTTTCTGTTTTGTAAATATAAGATCGTTTGTATCATTTCTTTTTAGACTGCACATATAAGAGATATCATGATATTTCTCTGTCTGACTTACTTCACTCAGGGTGACAGTCTCTAGGTCCACTGGTTTCTTTTCTAATTAATTATTTTTAATGTGCAATTTTTTAAGGGACTGTCATATTCCAGTACTAGGTGCTGGGAATTCAATAAAGAGCAAGACTGGCCAGGACACCTGCCTTCTTGGAATTTACCATCCAATTGGGTGGTGATGCTGTGAGAAGCAGAGATCCTCAGAGGGTACCAGGAGATGCTGCCTCGTAGATGGTGGCTTATTTTGTTTGGAGGTTTGACTTTGCTTTGTTTTGGAAGATTGGCCTCTGATGATGGTAGTTTGGGGTACAGTGCTTTCAATATGATCTTTACTTGTTTTGTTCTTAATCAATGACATCTTGGGCTATAACTGAAACCTCCTCTTAGCTAAAGCGACATGAATGATCCATCCCAAATTGCTTGGAAATGTCAGGAAGACAAGCTCATGGGCTGCTGTCACCAATTCAAGTCAGTGCTCGGGAATACCCATCAGTGACCTCTGAGGCCAAACGCCATGGATTGTGGTCACCTCTTCGTTGCCAGGCTCTGCAGTGGTCCTTGGGGAGCATTCATCTAGGTGACTGCCCTGAACAGAGGTCTCTTCTTCAGGGTGATGACTGACATCTTTGCGGGGATTGAGCTGGCATCTCACACCAAGAGTTTAGATCTAAAATGAAAGGCACTTAGAGGGAAGGTTTGCACAAGCCTTTTCTAAAAACATCAGTTACAGACATGCAGAGAAGCTCCTTATGGGAAGCTGTGGAAACTGTAGGCTGGTTGAACACTCTCCCCAGTGTTTTCTACACAACCTGGGGAGAAGCTGCTCTTGAGACAGCCCTGGCCTATACAGACTCTGGAGGCCACAGCTAAGAAATCACTGTTTAACTAGACCTCCCAGGTTAACCTGGCATTCCACCAGCCTTCCTTCCGTCCATGCCCCAGAGCCTTTCCTCTGGGCCTCCCACCTGTGCATCCGCTTCCTTGGAGTCTCAGAAACCAGCTTCCAGAGAGATGCTGAGCCTGGAAAGAGTGGCTTCCTGAGGACACCATGCTTGACCAGCCATCACTGTGGCTCGCTCGTGAATGCATTGTGGGCAGAACATGGGCCGTCTCCTAGGTTTCCAGTCCACAGCATCATCTACCTCTCCGTCGTCTGGAAACCTAGATGTGGGTTTTATTTTTAATTTACCTTCTGAAGAAAATCAGTTCCAAGTGTAGAATTGGAGGGATTCCTAAAAGCTGTTAATATTCATCCTTCACCATGTTATAAATCTTCTCTAATGCGTCCCCTTACGAGAGCCAAACAGACAAATTTCATATTCCTCTCTCCTTCCCCTTCTCCCTTCTTTCTTCTCTTCTGCCTCCTCATCTCCCTCTCCCCGCTAGCAAGGGAGGGGTGCGAAGGGGCATGTGGGCCTCCGACTTTCTGTGTGTGCATAGGAATTACTCTCAAGGCAACAATTTTCCCAACAACGATGTAATTATGAAATATTACCCCAACACATTGGGTATTATTGAATGTGCCATTTCTGGATCCTGGCCAAAGGCTTTGGCAGAAACGGGACTCAAAGGAGGAGAGGAGGGAGAAAAATTATGCACACGTCTCCCTTTCCGCCCTGCTTTTGAATTAAACCACATGTAAGTTTTGTAGCCGCGCACAGCAGAAAGGAACAGCTCCAAACACATGTTTTGGAGCAGAGATCTTGTCTAGGGGATTTTGAAAATTAGCGGCTGAAACAATAGAACATGAAGTCAGGGCATGTGGAAGTGATTGAGGGCCGCTGCCATGTACAGTAAGAGCTGTTAATCAGTGCCTCACTACTGGCTGCTTGGAGACAGGATTTGAGTAAACACGGAGCTCTGCTCAATCACTAAGCCGAGGGTCGTCAGGATCCTGGTGTCAGGGATCCCATTTACCCTTGGGAAGGAGGTAGAGTGAATGACAAGGACGAATTCCTTAGCAAAGCAAACCCTAGGTGGATGCTCGAGCAGAAACCTCATCCACAGGGTAATAATTACATGTGCTCAGGGCTCCGCGGAGTCCTGGCACTGTTTCCAGCCTCGAGTACCAAGCCATCGCCAAGAAGCACCCCCAAAGCTAGGGTGTGTACAGTCTCCTTATGTTTCAGTCATTCACCCATTGGTTCATTTATGAATGCCTTCAATACATATGTTCAAGCAGTACTGATTGTATAACCACTATGAACACTTACTGTGGACCGTATAAGAATCTGGTCTCTTCTCTGAAAAGACCTACTACCTAATGAACACAGAAAACCTATCATTATGACCAGCTAAATTAACAATAGAAGACGTGGGCTCTCCCTTGCTCTCTCTTCGAAAGGCCAAAGCGATGCAGAGATGGTAGTGACTAGAGGGCGTGGCCACCACCGTGAGCCTCCTCAACAAGCCCTGGAGGCAGATGACCCTGGAGGAGCTGCAGGAGTGGGAGGAGGAGGAGTTGAACGTGGGGTCACTCTCGTGCTCACGAAGTTGGTCAAGAACAGCACCCAGGGGCTCATCAACCACCGGAACAACAGAACGCTCCTGGGCTAGGTGAGGGCATTCAACACATGTCAGAGAATTTGAAGGAGATGTGGACCCAGGTCCCCAAGAGTGGCAAGAAGTCCAAGCCAGTCAACAAGGACCACTACATCTCAAAGATGCTCCTGTGCAAAGACTCGGTCACCATGGTCTCACAAAACCCACTCATTGCTTTCAAGTAGAGGTCCCCGCACTGCCATCAGAACTTGCCCCCTTGTTTTGTGAAGATCTGCCCTTTGTACTTGGGATAATAAATTCCTGAGTTTAAAAAAAAAAAAATAGAAGACGTGACATCAGGAAACATATATGGTGAAACATAAAGGAATAATGCAGACAAGAAACTTTCAAGGAGTTTAGGAGAGGGTGCTGAGATTGCTGTGGTCCAGGATCACCTGAAAGGGATGAGGTTGGAGCTGGGCTGTGGATGGGAGGGAAGGAGGAGAAGAGGCACTCCAGGTGAGATAGGCCAGCCTGAGTGGGGATGAAGTCCTTTTTCTTTTGCTTCATTCACATGTCAAAACCATGCAAAAGCTCCGCCATCCAGGACGGGGCTGAGCAGAGGAGGCTGACACTGACAAGCGCTGCCAGAAAGGATGGCCAGTGATGCTTCCATTTGGGTGGGCCCTAATCTACTCTGACTGGTAGTCTTTGTAAGAGGAGGAGCTTAGGACCCACAGAGAGACACCAGGGATGCACAGGCACTGAGAAATAATCTTGAAGAAGCAGCAAGAGTGGGGCACCTGCAAGCCAAGCAGGGGCTCTCAAGAGACACCACACCTGCCTCACACTCTGGTCTGGGACTTCTGGCCTTCAGAACTGTGGGAATATTAAGTACTACTGTTTAAGCCACCCAGTCTGTGGTATTCCATAACAGCAACCCTCACAGACCAATACATGTGGCTTTTCTCATTGCATTTGCTGATGTAAAATATATTAACAAATTTTAAAATGTTAATTCATGCTTGCAGTCTTAGGATAATTGACCAAAGTGATTTAGGATGACTTAATATTGCTTTTTAAAAACATACTTATTTCTTCTTGGTTGCCCTGGGTCTTCATTGCTGCATGTGGGTTTTCTCTAGTTGCAGAGGGGCCACTCTCTGGTTGTGGTACACGGGCTTCTCACTGCAGTGCCTCCTCTTGTTGCAGAGCATGGGCTCTAGCGTGCAGTATCAGCAGTTGTGCCACTTGGGTCTAGTCGCCCCAAAGCATGTGGAATCTTCCCGGACGAGGGATCGAACCTGTGTCCCTTGCACTGGCAGGTGTATTTTTAACCACTGGCTCACCAGGCAAGTCCTAAACTATATTAATCAAGACAGAGAAGCGTTGGTACAGGAAGAGAAAGATATAGAAGGGATTAGACAGTCCAGAAACACATCCAGAATTTATGGAAACTTGTTCCATGACAGAGAAAGTATTCTCCCTTCTGGAAAGAGGAGAGGGTGAACAAAGTGGGCCAAATTCCTCCAGAGAGAATCTGGAAAGAGAAAATCCAAATGACCAATAAATATATGAAAAGTTCTCAAGCACATCAGCAGTCAAGGAAATAAAAAGGCCACAGTGAAATACTATTGCGTAACTTACAATGTCTGACAACGTGATGAATCGGCAATAATATGGAGCAACGGGATTAAATTCTGTCAGGAATTTAATCTGAACAACCACTTTACAGATGGATTTAGGCATATATATAGTCAAGCTGAAGATGTACGAACTCTGTAACCCAGCTATTCCATTTCTAACAATCTATCACAGAGAAACTTGAGCACAAGTTTCTCTATAGGCTCAGAGGAAGTGCAGAATGTTCAAACAGCACTATCTGTCATGGGAAAAACTGGATATTTTGTCTGAATTTCCATCAATAGGCAAATTTCTGCCTTGTTTCTGAATTCTCAACACTTAAAACAATGCCTGATAATACTACTCTAGAAATATTATTGGCATCAGTAAATCAGTGTATAAATAAAAGATGTTCCCAAGTCCTTCCATCCATCAAGAATCTAAGTGGGAAAAGAGGGCTTTCAATAGAATCTTCCATGTTGTCTCTTAGTCTGTACAGTCTGGGGTTCACCTCCTCAAGGCTTAGCAATTTGTGATTTATCTCTTCTACAGCAAACTGAAAAGAAGGTTCTTGTAGCTTCTCATTTTTCTGCCTCCACTGTTACTACTAAAAATCACCATGATGGCCTTCTGGAAAAAGAATTCTCTCCCCTGTAGGCTTTGTCACCTGCTGGAAAAATATTTCCTACCAAAACACATCTCTATCAAAGCAAGCACATTTTCTAAAATGGGACATAGCCCTCTCTGTATGTATATATTTATCCACCTAATCTATATGTATTAATATATATTCTTACTCATATGATCAGAGATATCAGTGCTTCTGATGCCATATTTGTCAACAAGCCTGAGAGATTAGCACGAGTTCCTGAGACTTGGAGCCTTGTGACACTACACATCCTAGGTCACCATCAAAAAACTTCCATGGGGACATTGGTGCTGGAGGGCCACCTTGATCTCTTCCTTCAGGATAATCCATTACAGAAGCTTCATGAAATCCCTGGTCCCAGGGTCTCAAAAGGGGTGCAGAGAGTTCCTGCCTAATGCAAGTCAAGCCATCCATCAGTGATAAACATGAGCTATCCGCTCACAGGGCTTCCTTTTGTGGGAAATCATGTTGATATCCAGAAGACTGGGCTGTACTGTATGCAGCTTATCCAGGAATTCTTCACATGAAAGAATTGGCTAGACGCTCTGTCTGGTAGCCTGGATTTAATCCTGAAATGAAGAAGAAGGCAGGGGGAGTGGGTTTGTACCAGACTAGCCAAGGAAAGTGATCAAGATGCCAGAGCTAATCACCCATATTTTTTTATCAGGGATCATATCATATCTGGGGAAGAATGTCTTAGTTTTGACCTGCTTCTTCTCTAGGTCTCTCCTGATTATGGTTGATTACAGCTCCCTGGGCATCAATCATGACTCTAAGCCAATTAATTGCATAACGCTGATAACCAGATGTTAGGGTTTCTGACTGCAGATCTGGTTTTATTGTGTGGATATATCTCTACATGGTCTGCATTGTTACCCAAAGTCTTTACTCAAATAGTCTTAAACAAAGATATTGCAGATGTTCCTAAATCTATTAACTGAAGGGGACTAGCCAAGAAAACTTGTCTGGTTTCTCATTTCCAATATAACAACTAAAGTCATTCTTGTTGAACTACTAAAGAGGAAACATCTTAAATCTTGCCTAATATTTCCAGTCAGACTTAGATAAGACCTCACAACACAATCAAGGATGTATTCTGAATGTTTCTTAATGATGCTTTTTCTACACCTACTTTATTCTCCTTTTCACCACCAGTGTTGACATGGTAGGAACCATGGGACTTGAATCAAGAAATGGGCTCCTGACGCCAAAATGAAGTTAAAGTCAGTGACATGGAAATCCAGAATCAGACAGACCAATATGGAGTTGCCATATAAAAGCTATTTGGGGTGTTACTTTTCACAATTTCTCCCTAACCTACACATCACTCCAGCATGGAAATGAGCTTGGAAAGATCGGAAGTAAACTTCCAGAGGTATAGCTGCTAAGTAGAGCAATAATCCAAACCCAGGTCTGTCTGTCTTCCCCCCAAACCCACCACACTAAGCAGACCATTCTTCAAAGCGGCGGCTATAGCCGTGGTCCCCTTTTCAGAAAACTGCTCAATGCAGCACATCCCTTTGGAGAACAAGCCTTAGATGCCTGCTCGAATGCACTGTACTGCTGAGGTCATTATTACCTCTGGCCAAGCTGAGTGGAGCAGGGTTGAGCCCTGCCTCTAGCTTGCTCAGTTGGCCAGTCAACAGGTTGACCAGCTGCCAGTGAAGCAGCTCAGACCAAAGCACACGGTCCAAAAAGGACAATGACAGTTCCCTCCGTCCAGTCAAATGCTCCTTCTATTGGACTTTAACAGAAAAGACAGGAAAGAGAGTCAGTAGCTAGTTTTGGGGGGGATGGGGGACGCAAAAACACACAGAGAAGATAGACCACGAGGCCCCAAGAGTGAGCAGTGTTGATGAGAAACTGCAGATCTGAGACAGCAGAATAAAACACATAAAGGATGGAGGGCGGTGGTCTGTTGGTAGTCACCTGTGTGCTGGAAGTGGAGAAGAAGGCAATCTGCGTCACCGGAACCGTGGGGACTAGGAAATCACAAGGCCGGTGAGCAGCGGGCGGAAGGCAGAAGGCAACCGGGTGACTAGAGCTGCATAGTTCCAGTTCCCAAGCTATGTTCCCATGTCTTTGGGGCCAGCTCTGCCCCTCTTTCTGAGGATGCTGTGACATCCTTGCCTCCCCTGTTACACATGTATTCTTGCTCTGAATCCACCTTGAGGATCAGGGGATGCAAGCTGACTGGTCCCCTCCCTCCCTTATGCCATGCTCCTCTCGGGAACGAGCGCCTGCTCAGCTGTCTCCTGCTCCTGCTGTGGCCCGGCCAGGGCAGTGGCCGAAGCATCTCTGCTAAGCCGGCCAAGTCTCAAGTCCTCTCCGGTACCCAAGAGGGGCCTCTGGTCACAACTGCTGGAGATGTATACCCCGCGCATCATATGACACAGGGACAGCCTAGAAACAGTGCGAAATGATTTACCTAATGGAGAAGGGGTGGGTGGTTCCCCACCCTGCTTTTTGCTCCTTCATGGGATTGTGGGCACCTGTTGGTCTGAGATTCCTGATGGTCTGTGTTTTGGAGACACACGCCCAGGGTGACCTCGTGAGTTTTGCCTGACCTTGAGGGTCTGCTGGCTTCCTGCGTATCTTGCTATTTGTGTACAGCCAGAACTCAGCAGATAGTTTCTGATCAGGAATAAAGTTGAGAGGCGGGACATGAGGAAGGATCAAAAATTCCATTTGAGACCCAGAAAAACAGGAGATGTGGTTATAAAAGAACATGCTTGTCCTCCTCCTCAGGGCCCTGGATCTGCCCCAGAAAGAGGATCCACCTCTGCCCCGACTTGAATGGGGAACGCCGGCCAGCAGCACACTCAAGACAGAGGACCAGGCCCATCTTTTGAACATCAAAGAGTCGACGGGCTTCCAGGTGACCTTGGCGGAGGGAAAGAGAAGCGGGGAAGCCCCAAGCCCCGTGTTGATGGTATAAACCTCAAAGGGGACCCAGTGGAACATAATGTTTCCCTTTATCTCCCGACTCCAGGAGTCTTCAAACTGCCCGCTATGCCCTGAAGCTGGGGAATTAGGAAGGAATTGAGATGTCTTTCTTCATTTGGAGAGAGAGAGCAATGCAGAAATTATAACTCATCCGAGGAACGCCTCCTAAGGGATTTTCACCTTCCCTGTTCTGGGGAAAGGTTTTCCTCCAAGAAGTCTCACTCCCATCATTGCAATCCCCTGGCTCCCTGCTCCAGGGTCTCTGACTCTCTGTTGCTTTCATTGTCTCGGGACTCAGCGCCTAGCCCAGGGACTTGTCTTGAGACAGTACTAATAAGTATTTGCAAAATAAAAGCGTAATGATGGAATGAATATCAGATGTCTTGTTGGAGGGGGCAGAGTATAAGCACAGTCAGTCCACCAGCATTTTATCATTTCACTCAACTTTGGTGAATCTATACTGTACACCAGCCAATTGCCTGTGTGTGTAGGGGGCAGACAAGACGAGCCTTAGACATTGGACCTACACTCAGGAGCCTTCCGTTTACCTAAAGAGAAGACATGTGGGCCCAATTACAGGAATGTGTGCAGGGTCTCAAACTATCACCCAGGGAGCACTAGTTAAAGTTGCAAGTTTCCCAAGCCCCACTCACCAGGGCTTCTGATTCAGATAAGGGCCCCCAAACCGAACAATGGAGCCAAGTTTGTATGTAATTCAGAAGCTGATATAAACCAGTCTACTCTTGGAGAAACACTGACATGTGGGGAGAAATAGGCCCACTGGGAAGGTATTGAAGCTCTTGCCTGGTCTCTTCAATGACCTCCCGTGACTCCTGAGACCTTTTCAGCATCCTCCCTGCCCACACTACCTAGCCCATGATGACTCAAAGCTCTAAACCTTGTATTAAGCGGATGCGCTTGGGTCTCTGTGCTCTCGTCTCTGGCAGAAAGGTGGAGATGGCTCAGCAAAGCCCACTGCTTGGGGGCTAGGAAACATCTTGGGAGAGTCAGCTCCATCCCCCAACTCCAGGCCCCTGCTTTAGCTCGTGCAGGATGTCCTAGGGGAAGAAGGAGCCAGTCACAGTGGGCTGGGTTTTCAGAAGTGACAGACACAGAGAAGATGGGTTCTGGAAAGCTGACTTCCCTTCCCCATCCTCCTCTGAGTCACCTGGAGAGCAGAGAGTCTCTGCATAACACCTCAAGGACCATTTCATGAAAACTGTATAATCATTAGGAAATAAGCAGTGCTCCTCCAAGACACTTAACACTGAAGAAGAGGGAAGAGACACCCCACTCCTGCCCGCTCAGGTCACAGCTCCCAGCCTGTGGGGGCAGAAGGACCCGGGGGACAGGGGAGGGGAAGGGTGGGACATGGAGAAACGATGCAGGAGGCACAGTCATTCACCAGCACCTTCAAGGCAAGCCTGGGAGCCCCCAGAAGCACCGGAGAGGAGGTGGTGTAGAGTTACAGGGTGAGCAGTGGGGCGACAGCCATTTAAATTTGTGTCAAGACTAGTTGTTACCCCCAAATGGACCAAATTCTAAAACATCTCCCCAATCCACCTGCACGTCTGCCTTATCTTTGGGTGACTATTCAGCCTCATGGTGGGGCTTCCTATGTCTCATTTCTTCCCTCTCCATTCTACTCACTGTACTGCAGCCATAATTATCTTTTTAAACTGTAAGACTGGTTATATTTCTTCCCCATTAACTACAGAATAAAGTCCAGACTCCTGCAGACCCTCCAGAGCTTGATTCCAGCGTAAGGTCCTCCAGGAAACTGCCTCTGACTTCCTTGGGTAGAATGGGACATCCTCCTTTGCCTCTGCTATATTTTGTACCTTTTTTCCTTGAAGCTGGTATCACATTTTATGGGCTTTATTTATTTACCTGATTCTCCTAGACTGGAATCTCCCTGAGGGCAGAGCCTGTGTCTCTCATTCATCTCCACCACTAGTGCCCAGTACACTACAAGTTTAACAAATGTTTTATTCATTCATTCATTCATTACTGCCCTCATATCAACCCCATCCAGAATGATTACCTCCTTGTCCTTAAGTATGCTTTCACTCCCATCACTGAAACTTTCTCTTCTTCCCCTTGCCTGAAATATTTTCTATTATCTTTTTCATTCTTCTGTTTATTTCTTTAATTTTTCTGTAACCAATCATTGCAATACCTCAGATCTTTGAGAGAATGACCCTGCCGTTTTCAGTGGTGTTTCTGCGAACTCTTCCTCACAGCGCTTTGTTTCTTTGTGTGGTTTGAAATTTAGGGTTATGAACTCATGTTTGGTAAGGTGCCCCAGGGCACTACCAATCAAGAACCACTTCAAGTTAACTCTGTAGCTTGTAGTTTGCTATATGATGCAGGTAATATAAAGTTAAACCCCAACCCCAGGTGAGACTAACTACAGTAATACAATTCACGGAGGAAATAGTTTTCTTTTTTTTTTTTCAATCCAGAGCCCAACTTGATAAGACAAGTTTCTCTGTTTCTCTTTGCCAGGGACCACATTCTCCTAGACCATACTTTCCCTGGGGATCTTGTTTTATGTGTATGAGAGTTGTGTCCATTCTATCTTCTTACCTTGTATGGGCTCAAGATCAGAAGATTCATAAAAGACATTCAACTCTAAGACCCCAGATCCGAGATTGGCAAAGTATTGGCCCGAGGCTCAATTCCAGTTTACTGCGGGTCAAGCCCTCCTACACCTGTTCTTATGTATTATCTCTGACTGCGTTCATGCTACAGAGCATTGAGCTGTTGAAACAGAGAACCACATGGGCTCTGAAACCCACAAATATTTACTATCTGGCACTTTACAGAAGATGTTTGCTAATTCCTGCTCTAAACCACAAAGACTATCAAAAGCACCAGCAACTCTTACCTTTTTCCAAATTCAGTGATGCATTTCAAAGGAATTTTGATTCCAGATGGTTTAGCTGTATTATATGGGGTGATTTCCTAGGATGTCTAGTCTACCACATTGCCAGAAGGTGAAATTAACCTCTTCTTTCTTTTTAGCCTTTCAAAAGGTCCAAAACAGAACCTCTCTCCTTCCCCAGTGATTTCAGCCCAAGATATCATTCCCAATGCTTCCTACACCCTTTGCAGAACCTAAGGTTCAGCAGTTCATTGTAGGTGTGTGTTCTCCAGTTTGCATCAAGCAGGTAATTATTCTCATTTGTGAGGCTGTCAGCACCTTGAGACCAGTGTTTATCATTTAGGTCAAGACCTAGTCTTGTGAATTTCAAGAACTGGAGCAATCCTCAGGGGCTACAGAACTCAAAATCTGGTGAGTTATAAAAGCATCCTTGGCAGTGGAAAATGAGCTGAAAGCAGAAATGAGTGATCAGGCTTTGGGTTTAGAGGAAATGTTCCAAATTCAAGTTCTGTCACTTACTAGCTGCATGAGATCAGCAGTTATTTGCTAAGTTCAGGTCGCTTCATCTATGGAAAGAGAATGACATATCTTCAGTGGACAACTGGGAGACTTAGAATGGATGCACAGTATCTGATAGAAATAGATGACCAATAGGCCATTATCATGTTGTTATGGAAGCAACTTGTTTATTAATGTTCTTGACAGTACACTTGAAGACAGCTTTGACTTGAAGCATCCAAGCTGGAGTTTGATCTGCATTTATATCCAAATTTGTGAAACCTAGACCCTGGAGAGGGAAATGGCAACACACTCCAGTATTCTTCTTGACTGAGAAATCCCATGGACAGAGGAGCCTGGTGGGCTACGGTCCATGCGGTCACAAACAGTCAGACATGACTTAGTGACTAAACAATAACAACAACAGACAAGGAGCATAGGAAACACAGAAAGTGAGGAGCTGCGAAGGATACATGCTTAGATCTTACAAAAATCAGACTCCCAGCATCTCAGGTCTGACCACAGAGTTTCTGCAGGGCTGGGATATGAATTCACCAAATAATCAAACCCACTTCATCAGTAAAAAGTGCTCACTGAGTTGTCACTGTAACAGCTGTCAAAAAGTGTGGCTGACTGCTACTCTAGTAGATACCTGATTCTTGTTTTGCACTTGGCGTTGGCCTCCTTAAGCTCCAAGGGTGTTGAGACCCACCGTCCTAGCAGCCCTGAGCTCTGCCAGCTAGTCCTACTCTTTAGAGAAGAACAAATTCATTCGCCTCTTCTTTCCTTTCTCTTAGCATTTGTAAGAGGGGGAATAGGACCCAAGGCAGGAACTTAAGAGAAAGGTGTGGTAGCCTGATGTCGCAGCCCTTACCCCCAGGGTGACTTTCACCTACACTTTCAGCACTGGTTTGGGGCTTCTAGAAGCCTAGTCTAGGGGCCCTGGGGAAGGGTTTGGACTGGGGATGGCAGGGGAAGAAGGCACAGATTTACTTATGTTCCAAGTCATGCAAGAGGCATGAGGCATTTGCAAGTGAGAAAACTGGTCCTTCCAGGCACAGGGCTTTGATTTCTTAACACTGGGCACATTTGCATTACCTCAACCTCTTTAAGGTCTTGCCCATGACTGGCACAACCCCCAGATCACCAAGCTTCCCCTGACCCCCCGGGGTTCATCAACACTCACCTGCTTCATGCTGTTTTCTCTTCCAGGCAGTGGAAGGGATTCCCACTCCATCCTCACTGCACCCAAACATACTCTGCTCAGACCTGTGTCCCCAGTTCCCAGCATCTTCCTGGTCCATCAATTCCAACTTGCTTGATTATGAATTTTTAAATCTACTTGTCTGTTTCTTGCAGTGTATAGTAAGGTGTTCTGTGTTCCTTGGCTATTTCAATCATTGAAATAAGATGTTTTAATAGAAGTAAGATGTTTTGCCCCTGACAAGGGAAGTTAAGTAATCAGGAATATGTAATTTATGCAGTTTTCTTTTTTAAGAAGATAACTATACTTTTCAAGTAAATAAAGTAGCAATACTATGGTTTACTAAGTCATCTAGAGTGATTTATAAGAAGCAATGAAAAAATTTTCAATTCCAATTTTCCCA